TGCGAACCGAGAGATAATTGTTTTGTTTTCTGCCACTAATTAGTGGTTTCGTTGAATACATTAACGACTCGTTTCTCGTCGACAATGAAATCGCGTCGCACTTTAGGATCAGGCGATGGCGAGCCCTACCGTTCCCGTCGTCAACGACTACCCCGTCTATCACGACGACTATCACCGCCGGTATAACAACGCGTTCGGCTTCGAGCCCAAGAAGTCGACGCAAACCTTGAGTCCAATCATTGTCTTCAGGAATGAGTCGAACGCGAAGTTCGCCAAACACTCGACCCCTTCGTTGCTCTCCTGTTGTGGCGCCGACGCGAAGAACCACTTCCTGACGGTCCGCAACCTCCTGAAGGTCGTGTTCATCATGTTCTGCGTCGGGATGTGTTTCTACCAAACGGTCGACATCTTCAAGAAGTACTCGTCGTTTCCGATGGACGTGAACGTCGTGGTCGAGGAGATGAAGCTCTTGCAGTTGCCGGCCATCACTGTCTGCAACAACAATGTGTGAGTGTTTCAGAGGAAGGAGAAGAGAGACTAATGGCATTGAAATGGGTTTCAGAGTGAAGAGAGAGCTGTTGTTCGAGAAGTTCCCGAATCTCCAGAAAGAGACCAATATTTCGGTAATCAATGAGAGGAAGAGTTTTCAGAGTTTTGTAACGCATTTGCCGTCAAATCAGATGAAAAAGTTGGAGAACTTTACGAAGCATTGGATCGCGAAGACGCCGTTGAATGAAGTGCTGGAATTGGCGCCCACTTTGAAGGACTTCGTGGATGTGATGGAGTGCGACACCCAATACGACCCGGACGGGGACGACGCCGTCGCCAAGAAGTTGAAGTGCGTGGACATCGATGTGATCACTTCGCTGCAGAAGAACGGCATTTGTTTCACGTATTTCCACAAAATGGCAAAACATGTTCGTCCGAAACCCAGAGCGTGCGTCCAATTAGGCACTTGTTGTGAGTATTGAGGGACAGGAAAGCCGTTTCGCTAAACAGTAATCCCTTTCGCAGCCAAAAAAGAGCCGTTTTTCGACACAAACGAAATAATTCGCTTCGAACTCGACTTTCAGCCGAAGGAATACACGAACCAAGAGCTGCCCATCAGTGGACGCATTGCCATCCACGACAACACGGAGATCGGGAACTCCCTGTCCAACAGCTATAATCTGCAGCCCGGCTTCTACTACCAGTTCTACATTAAACGCCAGTCCACACAAATGCTGAGAAAGCCGTTCGCAACCAATTGTTTCGATTACGTGGCAGAAGAGGGACAGCGTCTGAACCAAACGCAGGATTTCGCGTCTATTCCTCTGTCGCGAAAGGTATGTCCTGTTGTCGGCCTTTACTCCCATTCACTGACCGCTCGCTCGTTGACAGCAATGCGCGTCCGGCTGTACGTCGAGGTTTACAATCAATCAGTGCTTTTGTTGGCCGCCGGAACTGCCGTACGTCCGCAACAACGGCCTCGACGTCAACCGATCGCTCCCGTGGTGTCAGTGGAGGTTCGAGGAGGGTATGTATGCCTCGGACTTCATGTCCAGAGACTACAATTGGCGTTCCCTTTACAGCGCAGAACCTGTACGGCATGTGTTGGGACAAGAAGGCGCGCCTCAAGTGTGCGATGCAATGCCAGCCCTCGTGTTGGACCGATCACTACGAGCTGTCCGTCCAGAAGCTGCAGTTCGAGTACTACGGAAGAGCTGTAAGCGAGACATGGATGAGAGTCGGTGTCTATTATAACGCGTCTATTCTTAGGGCTGGGATTCGGAGGACGCGGAACTGATGAACACTATGGCCGTCGTGTCGATCCGCTACTGGACTACAGAACACACGATCCACAAGTACTCGCCGATGTTCGCCATCCTAGACATGGTTTGCTACGTGGGAGGCCTGGTATCCATGTATACCGGCATCTCTTTGATCGCGATCTACGACTTCTTCATTCTGTCGCTGTTTATCATTAAGAAAAAGTATATTTGAATAAAACTCTCGTTTGAATTAGAATTTCCCGCTTTTGCGCGCTTTTGTCACTATTTTTAGACATGTTTTCCAAAAAAGCCTTTTTTGTCGTCTTTTGCCTCAAAAGAGGTCTCAAAACCAAAAGCGACGCAAAAGTCGCGCTTTTGGCGGCAAAACGGCGACAAAACCTGACGTTCGCGGAAATGGCCGACAAATTGGCCGCAAATAAGGTAACGAAAGGAATGAGAGGAACGCCTAATCTCAGCCTTTCGTCTCAGGTTCGACTCTCGGCCGCCATTTTCGGCGAACAGCCCTTCGATAAGGACACGGCTGCGCGCGCTCTGCAGCTCCTGGATCTGTCGGACGACCGCCTGCTTGAGCTCATGCAAGAGAGGCCCGAAATCCGCGGACAAAACGAGCACTTCTTCGGCGATCCCCTCATTGCGCGTCTTCTGGAAGTGATTCGCGTTTACGGCCCGACTCTGAAGGCCATCGTCGAGGAGGAGAACGGAAACGGAATCGTGTCGGCCGTCGACTGTCGTCTCGCGTGCGACAAATACGACGA